ATATTTCCAATTCTGATGTTTAGAAGCAACATTTTGCTATTTCATTTAATCCATCGACTGATTACATAAAATGTATCGACAAATTTCTTTTATAAGTATGCCCTCAATTAATTATGTTGTAATATAATTGCTATATCATCCAGGCAGTTATAGGCACAGGTTATACATATACCGGTATCGTTAATTCTGCAGAACTGGCACATTATAAATATCGCACGACACTCAACGTCGGCGTCGCAGCGGTTCTGGAGAATTGACGGTTTTCATTCACAGCGATGCGACAATCATTTTGTTACATGTTCTTGGCTCGAGGAGCCCCGTCCTTCATATAATCGCCTTCATCTCGGTCGTCGTCCTGATGGCTATGAATGACGAATGACGCGCTCTAAAAGATCCTTTCGTCTCGTACGCCAAATCGAAATATGATCCTTCCGCTCGTCTGACGCGCGATACGTTAATCGGCTTCCCGCCGCAGAATCGGTGAGTGCGATTAAAATTCAAGTGGCATTCGATGATTATCTTTCTGTATGCCTTTTGAACACCATCGAATTAGATTCGAGTACAGTGCGGAAATAAACGATTACACTAATTACCACATAATTTGTTTATTTGTGCTGTAAGTAGAAATTAATAATACAAGTTATTTCTGTTAATGAAATATAATATTAAAGTATTATTAAAAATTGATATATTTCGTATATTACGTATATTTCGTATATGAAAATCTTGAAATAAGTCATGATTGCTACGCATTAGTTTTAATTTAATATAATTAAATTGTGGATCTTTTTTGATAAATCACAGAAGTTAATTTTAATTTATTACAACAGCCTCTGTTGCAATAAATTAGAGCAAAGCTAAAAATTGTCGGAATATTAGAATCGCAGATAACGATGAGTATATAATTTCGTAACCACACAGAAATAAAAAATAATCGATAGATTTCTAGGTAATATTAAAAAATATTTTATTTTTGTAAATAGTTTATATAACATAAAAATAATTTTATTTTGTTTGCCGTAAATGTCATTTACAATTAGCTGTCGTGACACAATTTAATTCATCTTTTCAAAGTATTATTTTATCTATCGGTGAACTCTTTATTTTCGAAATGAAACAAGATTTTATGAACGATCATTTGATTACCTGAAGCGACGGCGAATCGAATCGTTCTGCGTCGCCGTGAATGGAACTCTGAATTTTGCATAGGCACTCAAAAGCTTCGTTCGAGACTTCCACATATCCAATTCATGCAGCCAGGTTTCGTGTTCTCATGATGAAAACGCCGTTAACACACTTTCTGTCGTGTCACATCTGGGCCATTGATTAATAATTCGCTGTTGAATATCGCGAGACTCGTTCTCGTTTCAAAGTACTTATCTGCTACTAATTCAATCTTCAATATATACGATGTTCGTGGATTTGGTATTTTCGTTCTTCTCCGTAATAAAGTGCAAAATGGTGCATTTCTGATTCTAAGAATTAAGTATGTACCATAAAAGTTTAATCTACTTTTTAAATAAATTATTCATCTGCATACAGATTTGTGAAATACGAGTATATCTTCTTTATTAAAAAAGAACACTAAATGTTTTTTAATTATGTAACTTAAATTTTAATATATTTGAAAATATATTATGTAATTGCATTAAAAAGAATACAAAACTATTTATATAAAGTACATTACTTTCTAACATGTTATTTGTGTAAATAAAAAAATTCGATATAAAATCTTTTTAGTCTTCAGTTGCAAAAATTGTATAATCGAAAATTTCGAAGATTTCAGACATTGCAAAAGGAAAAATTATTTTTAACTCCTCGTCATTGGATAACAGCTTCAGCAATCGATAAGATCTAAGCTACGGCGTTGTGTATTTATGACGCATCGTCTCGATCGACGATCGCATTAAAATAACTACTCGTTCGTGCTTGTATAAAAATTCAACGATGATCAAGAATAAAACCGATCCCATTCAAAAATAGCGCCATGTGTAGTTGATTAAACAAGATTTAACTCTATTATTTAGTTTCTTATATACGCCGATTATCTACAACAAATCATCTAACTGTTTAACAGTCGCTGTGCGATTATTTTGAGTTAAGTATTTATTTTATTTCAAATATTGCAATTATAAATTCATAAATTATACATAATTAGTTCCAAACTATTATGAACACATTTAAGAAAGATAAATTAGTGAAGTGCTTTATATTTCGAAACTTGAATGCGATTAAATACACAATACAATTCATTAAAATGTTAAAATTCTTGGGTGATCCAGAACTTAATTTTTCAAAATACAGTATTTAATTTTGCATAATTTAACTCTTCATTTAAAAACAGACTTCTGTGATTTATTGTTTAAGACAAAATTCAAAAATTTTTATATTAGAATTTATGATTTTCGAAAAGAACGATTTTGCTGGCGTATCTAAAAATTTAGCTAGGCACAGATCTGAAAATAATTATATAAGATGCTTAAATTGGTTGCTGGAATGTTAAAACTTTTGGAGTATTGTCATCACGTTTTATGTAATTATTTTGATGGTCCAACAAAATTATTTTTAGATCTGTATCTAGCTAGATGTTTTAGCACTTTCTGTGTTTTAATATAATGAAATTTGACAATTTATATGCTTTATTAATTCTAAGAGCTTGAAGATTTCTATTTTTGAGGAAGAATTAGAAATGGGAGAAATTTATATTTTTGGCGCATACAATTTTTGTAGCTACGTTGGCTGTTCAACTTCAGACTCGAGATTCTGTAAATTCGTGACTCGCTTTCGGCATCGTTGAAGTGTAAATCAGATCAAAGTCGAAATTTTAGACCATATCTTAAGACACTTTTGTTGAATCTTTTTCCATTTCCCTGATTTTTGTCGACAAGATCAGGATCGGTAATCTATGTATTACGCGAGGACGTAATGCTCGCACGTAGGTGGATCGCGACGAATTCGTGGAACGTCGCGATCGCGCCTCACCACGTCGTGACGATCGACGCACCGGTTCGGCACGGTGCGTCATAAATGACCGATGACAGATTCTCCGAAGCCATTTCGTCTCGCATACGAAATCGCCGCCGGGCGGCGGTACATCAATAAAAAGTGTGTCCGGCCACGAATAAATGCGCGCGTCTGTACACCATCGGAATTGTCCCCACGGAAATACGTGATTGGCGATCAGGCGGTCATGTAGATATCTTTTAGCTTTCGGCGGTCAAACGGCAACGCATTTCGAGCCTTCCGTGAAATACCGCCAGTCTTTACAAAAATTAAATTTCTTGTCTCTTTTGAGAGTATCACTTTTTTTTAATAAAAGCTGTGTGCACTCTAATTATTTTATTTTATTATTATCACTTACGTATCCTTCCATCTTACGTTAATCTATCAAAAAGTACATTTTCTGTTCACTATCCTAACCTGTGGCACTGTTTTTAGTTTACTGGATATGAACAAAGAAAATTGTGACAAAATAAAATTATAATTGGTATAATTCATAGTTTGTCTTGATATTTAAGACTATCTTAAGTGCAATCTTAAAATGTCACAAACCAATAATAGAATAGTATTAGAGTTTTAGACATTCATCAAGATATTACTCAAAACGGTCTTAAAATAAGAATGAATTATGAATATCGGATTGTCTTTAATGAATAATTGAATATACAAAGATAGAATTGTTTTCTTGACACTTTAGAAATTCGGCTAGAATATATGTACTCTGAGATACCACGGGTGTATTGTCCATTTATACGTACCTACACACATATACAAGATGAGATCAGGCCACAGAAGCGCGATAATTTATGCATGCTACCGTGTATCTCGATCCTTTGCGGTCGATCGTGGCGACTGCGATCGTGACCGAAGACACGCCATCTGAATTCGTAAACGTTCGGTATTCGGATCTACCGATTTCTCCCTCTTAGCGATTGGATCATATCCCTTCTTTAAAGACTACTGATTTAGCAACATCTATTTTTGCATGACTCAATGTTAATTATTGTATAATCTTATCGTGTGTGTGGAGCCTAATAATTTCTTCATGAAATATCTAAAGCTGTGAAGATATATATTGCCACAGGATGAATTTATCTATTATGCACTAGCAATCAAGTAAGGTCGGTAAGATTACAAATCAAACTAGAATTAAAGAATCTATTTATTGATCGAATTTGGTTTTAAATTTTAATTTCAAATATCGACAGATTTAAAATTATAATGTACGTATAGTTATGTTAATCTATCACTCAAGATAAAATATTTGTACATGCTCTCAGAAAATAAAAAGCATTTTTTTCCATTTATATAAGCAAGTGATATACAATAGTCATCTCACTAATTTGTGAAAAATTATATATTATAAACGTTTGTTATTTCCCATACACATACACATACATATATTTTTCACACTTTTAAATTTAATTTTTAGACATAACGATATATCTTTTCAGTAATATTTTAACTTCTAAATTTTTTAAATTGTACATTAATATATATACTTGGATTTTAAATTATTTTAAAAAAGGTTGAATATGCAAATTAATTTTTTTACTGAAAGAAAATTGTGTGCAAGTCAATCTTGACAACACTGTGATAATCCGTAAAAAAATTCGACTATTATTTATTTCTCCTGCGCGCAATTATCTCCAAGAAATCAAAGAATAGAAAAAATGATTTTATTGAAATATCTAAAAATTTAGCTATAAATGTTGATCTAAAAATAATTTTGTTAAATCATAAAAATAATTGTATTAGGCATTCAAACTAGTCGCTAAAATGTCAACTTTTGGCAACATTATCATCATGCTTGGGCATCCTATGTAATTATTTTGATAGTTCAACATTTAGCTAAATTTTTAGATACTTCAGTAAAATTATTCTCTCTATGTAAGTATAGCTATGTAGGAAGATTTCCTCAAAAATTTTTCATTTTTTTTGTGATTATACAGTTTTTAAAATATTGCCTTAAAAAATGTGTAAGTAGATGTTAAACTTACCGTGTCGGGATTTAGAAAGATCGTGAGCCGGTGATGCCGGCGAACCGACGCTGCCGTCCTCATCCTCGCTGTCGGTGAAGCTACTCGGTGCACGCTGATTCGTGACACGACGGCAACCATCCAGTGCATAATATCCCTGCGAATGACTGGATGGTGGTATGGAGGGCTGCGACAGTCGATTCTGATGCAGTTCCGGGTGAGCCGGGTAGCCGGTGGACGGATGCTGTGGCGGCAGCATCGGGACGCCGGATGCACCGCTGCCACCGTACATCCGCATTGGTAGCCAAGCACTGTATAATCCGAGTGGCACGCCGAAACCTGCACGGACAATTTATAATTGATCGATAAACAATCGGCAAATATAGACAATTAATTAGATAATGATAAATTTAATTATTGTGTCACAAAATTATGTAAAAGCAATCGACCTAGATTTTGGTACACGCAGAATTCTTTTAGATATAATATATATCACATTATTTACACAATCTTAAAATATTCATCTTGATTCTGATTTAATTATTTTAATTTAATAACGATTAATACGTAATCATAAATATTTGAGATAAATTGAATTTGACTATATTGTATAAAGTCTGTTTTGTCACTCAGAGAGATAACATTTGATATCTCCGCTGTGATTTCATGTTGAAAACGGTTCTTTTATTTAATTATATACACTTTTTTAGTTTTACTATACAGTATTAGATTTTATTATTTTTATTTTTTGAAAATAATAGGAGGTATATTTTTCAGATTATAAGAATATGAAATTTAGTTATTTAATATAAAATGCAGTAGGTTTTAAAAATATTTTACTATTGACTTTGTAGACGATCTAACTAATGAGATATCCGTCCGTTATCAATAGTATCTAACTGTAATAAAGTAATAATAATTGATAAACAAATAGAATCGCAAGGCGAATTGAATTTTATATTTTATTTCCATTTATTCAGTTGTTCTATGCAGTGTTTCTTTATAGCTAAACATTTATTTTTACATTTACTTGCCATTTTTTAAGTGCACGTGTTCTCGATATTAAGTTATTCCCGTTCATCGTTACTTATATAATTTACTTATTATAATTTTCCTCTTGTTATTTAAATTCTAATTTTATGAGCTACACGCGTATGTTTATTCTTCTTTACTAAATTTATAGCGTAAATCAATTTTCACTTGTGTTGACGAAACTGGGAACCCGTCAATTACATGCAACATTACGGCTACAAATTACCTTGTAACGACAAAACTTGAAACTAACTATATTTCACTGCATCATACTACGTAAAATGATTATAAGACGCATAAAAAAAACGATAAGTTCCGAAGGTTTGAATTATGTACATATCCGAGATTACAAATTATAGTCTGCGAAACGTCGCCAGCACCTGGTATCTTTTCACGTTTTGGAGCATTGATTAGACACTACGGCACCTTTGACTCAATAGAATAAAGTTTCACAATAATCGTGTTATAATATCTTACAACATACAATCCTCTATATACGCAGTTATATTTCAATTATATTCTGTTTTATATGATAGTTTTTATCAAAATTTTGCTAATTCAAAAAAAAAACATCCCTAATATATGAGACACATAGTTTTCTTACATAAGGAGGTCCCGTAATGGTAATTGTAAGACGTACCGTAAGAATTAATTAATCACAGTCGAGAATTTTCAACAACTCTTAACCTGATCGGCTAATTCTTACGATATATTTTATGATATTACTGTTACAGAAAGTGTGTACAGGCCCTTTAACATGGTATCTTATAATATAAAACTAAGGGAAGAAATAAAGAAAAGTTTTCTATATAAAAACGCTTTCCAAAAGTAAGAATATAGCAAATTTTAATCTAAATTATACGTTGTAGTAATTGTAAAATTTTTCGAGGACTTTGTCATTTTAAAACGTAATGATCCTAAAATTAGGAACATTTATAATTAGTATATCAAGTTTATGTACCTATTATAAAATGAAACAGTCAGAAAATAAATAAAATTTAACAATAATAAACGATTTATTAGGACCGTATAATATGAATATACAACAAGCAAGATATTATAATTGTATTAGACCGATGAGAATAAATCAATTAATAGAAAAAAATCTTATTTTTGGTCAAAGCAGATTTTAGTGTTTAAGTACTTTAATGTGAATTATATACGCTTTTTTAGCGCTTTGTAACTGCTGTGTGCTACTTGGGTTTATTTTTGAATAAATATAAATGTTTATAAACAATATTAAAGTATTATTTTAAAGTTATTTTTTATGTGAATATAAAAATTATTCTTTATAAATATTTTATATTAAAGTATATTATACTGAAATATTTTTTACATGCATAAGTAAATAAGTTTTTAACGGTTGATCTAAGCGCAATCAATATGGACTTAGAGTCAATAGCCTCGGCTAAATTCAATTTTCACTGAATTTAAAATGTAAATATAAACTATTACAAAATATATAAGTTGTATCATCGTTATCATTATCTATAATATATACGCAGCATTATTGCTTTCTTTCAACAACTACATACATGATCAATAATAAGTTTTCTACTAAATAGATTTCACACTAAGAATAATAATTTATGATAGAACCCATATACGCTTATTTATAGTTTAGCAGAAACCTCGCTGTCTCATATTAGGAGCATAATAAACAACTTTATATATCCAGTGTTATGTCAAATAAATGTAATTTTTAACATATTCATTATTTCATTTAATTCATACATGTAATACTGTAATTGTTTTAATGTAAGTACCCCGCATTTTTTATGTACATGTATAACACATAGTATTATAGAGTCAGTCATCAATGAGCCGTCGGATTAATGCGCGCCATAATTCTCCCGACGGAAGATGATATTCACGAGATTATTTAATGCGAAATATAAGAGCACACGTACAGACGTACAGACAGAAATCACAAGATTAGAAATGTCGTAAGGATGTTCCTCGGAGAACTAAGTTGTATGAGATAATTCTTTAATCTAATTTAATAAAAGTATTATTTAATTTCTAATAATTGTATGTTAAATGAGGAATTTTATTTATTAAGTGAAAGTCTTAAAGTAGCTATGAATTTAATATAAACAGATATTAATAAAGTAGATGTTAAATTAAAAAATTTGAAAAGTTTATTTTTTATTTATAGTCAATCAATCGGAAATTTGCATGTGAAGAATTAAGTAACGAAAGTGTGAAAGTGTTTAAATAATAGCTTCATAGATTAATAGAAACTTTAATTTTATGAAGAACTTCACGATTTATTTCAAAGAGTTATTTCAATAAAAAAATCATTTGCTTATTTTATATAAATTATTTTTTATAATACACTCGTAAACAAAGTTATCGCAACATAAATTTATATCAAAATTTTGCATAACTTCAAATAAGCACATTTCGTGAGAAAAATCGTTATATTTAAAAGTCTATCCACGCGTCAACTCCAACATACATGCACACACCCACATATACATACATACGCACGTACGTATATAATGTGCAAAATCTGAGTAGCAACTTCTTCTTAGTGGGCATTGGTTAATGCCAATGTTGGAAGTAATCGAACAAAAATGCATGAGTAACTTTATATTAGGAGATACGCCATATCTTTGCAATAAAGAATTGTAAAAAAACTTTATTTTTTTAATTTGTAAGAAAAAGTACATACTTTGTGGTGACTATCATCGATATTTGCGAAAAAAATTAATTGCACCCCACATAGTGCAACTTTTTGGAGACATAACACGTCTTCTTATTTTAGAAAAGATAATTAACGAAAGTAAGAATGAATTTAAAATTTATTGTTTCTCAAAGTACAAACTTTACTCTTAAGGATAAAAAAAAACTTTCAAATACGACCATTTTTCACGAAGTTACGCTTATTTGAAATTATGCAAAATTTTATAAATTTATGTTGCGATAATTTTGTTGATGAGTGTATTTGTAGTAATACATTTGTCGTAATTTTATATTTTTTATTGACTTCACATGTCTCTAGATTAAAGAAAACGCTGAATGAACTTCAGATACTAGAAATACGGCAGACGTGTAGATGTAACGACGCGGTCTGTTCGTTGCAGTTATCGATTGGCGACATTTTTATGTATTTGTAGCGGTCGTATTTTAAGCCGTCGTCGCGTCGCGACGCTAAGTTTTTTTTACTTACATCCGCATCTTTCTCATCCGAAGTTATAAAATAATTTAACATATTTATATAAATTTTTAACTTAATTTTTAAAAGGTAATAATTAAAATGCTTCACGTAATTCATAGATTGTGTTACAAAATTCATTGTCAACGTTACGTGCACTATAAATTTTCAGCACTGGCAGTGAGAAACACAGCTATAATAAAAATAAAAAAATATTTTATTTTTAAAATCTGGTGTTCATATAAAAGTTTCCTTCCAGCAGCACGCTGCTTTTACGCCTTTATATATAATTTCGGTAATATATTTATAATACATTTATAATGAAAAAATGTTTCGCCGCTAAAAACTCTGAATTAATCAAAAGCATAAAATTCTGACGAAATTCAAAAATGTTTTGGAAGGAATAAAATTTGAAATAAAGAGAACATACAGTTTTTTCGAAAACTGTTTTTAATTTACTGTTTTTATTAGTGTCGCTTACTCAATTGTATGTATCGAGCAAGAAGAATGTTCTCACCTGAGGGAAGCGTGCTCGCCGCCGCGGTCGCCAGGTAGTGCCTCTGATAAAGCTGGTATTCCCGGTCTCGGTGCTCTTCCTCTTCGCTGCCGTTTGTCCGATCGTCTCGCGTTATGCCACCGCCACCGCCGGTATCATGATCTTCACGCGCGCTGCCGATCAAACTCTCGATCGTGAAGGGTCGCGGTGTCGGACGTCGCGCGAGCTTCGGTTCCGCGGCCGACGACTCCAACTCGTCGCTCGCCGAGCCGACGTCGAGCTCGGTTTCCTCCACGCTCATGTCCATGATTCCTTGAACTTGATGGACCAGCGTCCAAAATCGAACGAGATCGATTCGATCTCAATCCGATACTATATACGTGTGGAACATCTTTCTTTTTCGTGTACAATAATTGCCGTCTCTCGTGCAGTCCAAAGTGTTGTTAAATTAAGAATTAATAATATGCTGTGTCTTTGTCTTTTGCAGAATTTCTTATTGCGGCAGTACTTGAAGAAGGTAAATTGCTGATTCAATTGTTGTTGTGTACTAGATAAAAATAAGAAGCGTCAGAGTGTCTTTATTCAAATTGTCAACGTTGAATCAAATTGCAATATTAGTTTAAGGTTGTCGATCGGTGTTGAGGTGCTTTATATTTATTAACGATTGTTTTATAGTACTTTGCTTTATTTCGCTTTGCGTAGTATTATGTTTTGCATTACAACAGTTATGGCACATTTTATAATGAGCTTTAAATAATCGTTGCTATCTGTTTAGCAATCGTCTCTATTCGATTTCTTCCTTTACACAATATTGAAATATAATACGTAAAAATTATTATTGATCTATTATCACACTATTAAATCTTAGTCTTTTAATTCGTTATGGCAGTCAGCGCGTTTAAGGTAATTCTTTTATATTTCACGATAACTTTATAATACTAGGAGTCACTATAGTTTCCGATATGCAAACCTGCATTTGACACATAAATCAGTACTTTGGCACTGGTCACAATTTTTTAAATAAGATCTAACAAATTTAAGAAAGCTTATTTAGTTTAGATTATTATTATTATACTTCGTCACTATTAATTCTTTGTTGAATTTCTTGATTTGCAGAAAAATTAGTAGTTATTATAACTATAGCACAGGTCCGTTAAAATTATGATATCAGGGAATAGACAAGATCTGTGTCATGTAAAAATTGCATTTGATTACTGAAATATGTGAACTTCTTCCACGTATTATAATGGCGTTAAATAAAGCTGACACAGTCATAAATAATTAAATATGTCTGGGGCAATAATGTAATATGAAATTCCTTCGGGCACTCGTTAAATTCTCATGCTGAACGTTGTACCGACATTGATTATAAAATAAAGATCAATACAGAGAATAATCATGCAGAAAATCCGGCAAGTCCCAGTCATCAACAGCGTTTTGCAGAAAAGAAATATAAATTTGTAATCACACTCGATGAGAACTTTTAGAATTGTTTATGTCCACCTCCGCCAAAAGTTGTCCTTTTTCATCAACTTGATAACTTCAATTATGAATATTTGTTCAACCACGTTGATGACGATGACGGCAATCACCGGACTATACACTGCACACTATAAAGGTATCGGGAGGCGACCGTATGACGCACGGGTCGACGGGCGACTGCCGAGGGTATAGAGCAAGGTATTTTAATTCGTGATTCCTCGGCATGCGCCGTGTTCCGATGTGGTGGATGGCGTGGCATCGTCGTACCGACTTTTGTCCGATCCTGATTGGTCGCATTCGGACCAACAGCATCGTCCGGCCGCGCCTATCGTCCGCAGATCCACCATCTTGGTGCCAGGCTTTAATCCGAAGTACTTGCATTCGGATGCTTTGAGATTGAAAACGGTGGACAGTTTAGAACGATCATGGTATAAGATCTATTTTTAAATATCATCTTATTTAGACAGCGTGATAATGCAATTAACTAAATAAGGCGCCTAAAAGATGAATGACGAAGCTATTGGGAGTAACTTTCAGAAACTGTCGAGAATCCCTATCAAGAGTAATTTTGAAAGTGAAAAATTTTTGACAGTTCATTCTCTAAAAGTAAGACTACAATTACATGTACGTAGAAATTTACGATAAAAATTATTGCGTATTAACATAAGTTATTCTACGTAGTAATAGTTTAATTTTATACAATATTTAATTTATTTATAAAATTGTTTTTCTCTTGGATCAATGAATCGTTTTCTACCAATTACCCATATAATGCGGATATTATACTGTTTTACTATATTGTAATAAACAAAAAAAATTCCACAAATCTCATACATTGAGATTATGAAGAACTAATGAGTAATTTTTAAAACCCAAGGAAGTTTTGGCAGGTAATTGACCAATTACGCTGTTTCTGAAACATGAAGCGATCGACGTTAACGAGCTTGCTTTCTGCCGCGGTCTATTTTGTATCCTCAACGTGTTCCCCATTAAGTTATCCTTCACGCCACCCCCGCAGGGTGCTTCCTAACGAGCACACTTATCAAGACTGTTGTCTTATTTGATCCATCGGTGAGGATATTGACACGTACTTATTCTTAGTATGTTGTTTGTCATTTGTCAACTATTTGTCTCGTCATCTAATTACCATACTTTTTTGGCTGCGTAATTATTGATTTCTTCTGTTGTGCCTTAATATTACAGGAGAAAAACATTTTAAGAATTTTATTTTCCAGAATTAATTATTTCAGCAAAAACAAGGTATCCTTTAAATCTAGAAAAAATATCATTCAGAGAACAGTTTAGATAATGAATTTTCAGTACATTAGCATTTTTGTATAAAATAATTTAATTCTGTTATAACATTATAATACTAATTTGGTTTCTTTTTTACAATTATATTTTCTTTGATTATATTTTGATGTAAAAATAGATTGTAGCGCAGAAATTAATTTTCTATGAAAATTTAGTTACTAAATTAATATACGCTAACGTCATTAGAAACGTTACACGTTATTTCACGCGTCTCGTGCACGTTGAATTTTAGGATGGATTACGCCCACGCATCGTTTACATCGTACATGGCTCCGAACCGGCTAATCGATGCATCACTACAGTAACGATACTATTTCGATACTCGTTAGCATGCCGTCACTTTAATTGGATCTCAAAATTACACAACATTGCTTGCTCCTTGCGAATATTATACCAATGCTTCAATCTATAATATACCTATTTACATCTTTAGTTATGCTATGTATCTTGAGTGTATACATAATCAATGTTTATTTTATTATTATTATTACTAATTAATACAGGGTTATGTAGGGTTCTAGCCAGGCTTAGTGTATTCTAATGTAATGGGAAATACCTTTAAATTTAATTACGAATTATATTTACTCCAGTATTTATGTATTATGATGATGATCGTATACAGTATTGTCAGATTTGGTATATTTCTAACTATATTGGCACCCTGGTATTACATTACAGATAAGACAGTAAACAAATGAGAGATAAATAAATATTTTTGCATCCTTTGACTCAATCTACATTTTTGTCATTAGCTGTACAATTTATTTTTTGCTTTAATAAATACTGATCATATATGATACATGATATGATTAAATGTATTGCATTAATTATTACACTTTGTTATCATTATTATTAATATTGGCATTGCAATTTCTCTAATTAAGTTCTAGAGAGAGATTATACAATTCTATAACAATTTTTGCTAATAAACTAATAATAGTTCCTTAGCTGATTATTAATTCTCTTTTATAAATTTAAACACGGATGTAGTTTTACGAGCTGTCTTCAGAGAAGTTTATAGCAAACGTTTGTACTTATTTGCGCGACAGAAAGGCGGAAATAAGTATCGGCAGAGCTGAAGAATCGAGTACAAAGTGACACTTAACGCCTTGTAAAATTAGAGAGGAAGTACAAAGGCACAGGAAGAAAGGTAGAGATATTGCTCTCCGGTGATGAAAGGTATTTAAACGCGGTTTGCTCCGGCAGTTGACTTCCTCTGTTAAGTTTGGAGAAAAGTTTCTTATTTGAAATAGCAAATTTGACAAGAGATCTTTCTGAGAACTGACCACGACAAAATAAAATAGATAAATGTCACGGATGAAATTTCGGAGAATTCTAAGAATAACTTTTAATATAATTACAATTCAATATTGTTCCTTCATATTTTTACGTAATATGGGTATTGGAGCAAGTTGATTCTAGTCACACTTTGTCCGACACGTCGTACCCGAGGAAGAACCAATGACTATAAATTCCAGCTGCAGTGTACAAGGAGTGGCAATCGGCCAGACAAATTTCACCCTACAAGTAGTCACTGACAAATTGGAGCAGACCATGTCGAAAATGCGAGGCATGCGTCAGATCGGCGCTAAAGAAAGTAAAGAGTAATTTTATTCAATTCTTTAATGAAGAATAAACGTTATATTCACACGTTGCTTTAAAATATATGTACATGAACAAATCTTACAGAAAATTCCGGGGGAACTGACGATCGTTTTTAATTGAAGGAAATTTCAATTTCACTTGCATTACGTAATCGCAATTATTCTTTCTTCACAAAATCGAAAATTAAAATATAACAGTTTTATTTATGGCGAGAGTAAAAAAGATTACTTCTAAGTAATCCCTTCGCATTATGACTTTCCAAAGTTTCGGGATCGCGTTAAATCCGAGCCAAGTGCAATTTCCGTCATATTCGGTAGCAATAAAATAAAATATCCTCGCTACATTGTGCGAGTGTCATATATCATGAATGAAGAAAAACGTTCAACCCACCGAGTTCTACGGGTCCGCCATGTGCGTGGCTGCTGGTCGCACAGAACACAGAACACGAGAGTTCCGACCGTGAATGCTCAGACGGCCTTAAATCTCGCCTCGCTGCTCGCTTCGCGAAGCGGAGCGACGCGACGCGACGCGACGCGGTCGGCGTCGTCGTCGATGTCTTTTTGCACGGTGGAGGCGTCGATGCGCGTCCCGCTCGACTCGTTACGCACGTGTGAACGGAAATGTCGACGCTTAAACGCTTGCGGCAGGCCGAGTTTTAATTGCCTGCCGTTAGTTACGTGGACCGAGAAAGAGGAGAAGGACGACGTATGAGTGCACTCTTTTGAGAGTGCTCTCCGCTTTTTTCCCTCGCCGCCAATCGTATCTGACGGCCGATTTGTCCTATGCACGCATCTTTCGCATATCCCTTTGCAGCCGAAATCAGTCTTCGTGCTCTTCCACGCTTTCTGCTGACTTTCTTCTCTTGGAATCGCGACATTGTTAAATAGTTTGATTCTCGTATTATTCTGACCTGTTCGAGTGAAGTCAAAGTAAATTTTTGTGGACTCTTAAATTTAGAAGGTATTTCAAGTTAAATTTATATAAGACATCCTAAATTATATATATATATATGTGTGTAAAGTTCGAGCATAAAAATAAAAAGATAAAAATTTTAACTTAAGAATCACTTGGGACAGAATATAAGGAGCTTATTATTTCAT